ATATAGAGAGAGAGAGAGAGAGAGAGGTACCTGTTGTTGTGTCTTAGAGAATGAAATTCGTAGAGAATAAGGGGTGAAGCAACTCTCTATTGAAGATCTGAACGAGTCTTGTCCTAGCTTCGTAAAATCGTAGTTCTTTCGATTGTTCGAGTGAGCAAGTCAACCACATCGCAAAGAGAGAGAGAGAGGACTGAATCGGAGTAAGAGGCTGAGAGTAATCAAACCTTAAAATCCAACGATGAAACAGAGAGGAGGATGAGAGACAGAGAGGAAGAGGAAGAGGAAGACGAGAGGCAGAGGCTCACAACGACANAGAGGACTGAATCGGAGTAAGAGGCTGAGAGTAATCAAACCTTAAAATCCAACGATAAAACAGAGAGAAGGATGAGAGACAAAGAGGAAGAGGAAGAGGAAGACGAGAGGCAGAGGCTCACAACGACAAAGATCAGATTAGGGCAAATGAATCGCTGCTCATGGAGGGTGGAGGCTGCTCGTGGATAGTTGGTGGAGGGTGGAGGCTGTTGTGGTGCTGTTGGAGGATGGAGGCTGGGCTGTGGAGTCTGGAAACTAAACGAATGATTTAGGACAAAACAGAAGGGGAAAAGAAAAAGACACAAAAAAAAAAAAAAANTTGTGGTGCTGTTGGAGGATGGAGGCTGGGCTGTGGAGTCTGGACACTAAACGAATGATTTAAGACAAAACAGAAGGGGAAAAGAAAAAAACACAAAAAAAAAAAGACATATTTATACTAAAGGAACAAAACCGGCCGATTTTGTAAACCCGTCCAGTTTTCACGGGTTACCGATTTTTTGACAGGTTCACCGATTTTATTCCGGGTTCTNCAGTTTTCACGGGTTACCTATTTTTTGACCGGTTCACCGATTTTATTCCGGGTTCTTTGCTCAAACGATCTAATTACAAAACTGACCCGATTAGGGGACCGGTTCACCGAGTCAACCCGCCTGGCCGGGCGGGGTTTTAAAATACTGGTTTGGCAAATTGCCCTTTCTTTATATTATATATATATATATATANTACTCATAAGCTACCATTGATTGAAACAAAAAGAATCAATAATATATTAGGTCGACAAAAGTCGTGATGGTGAGTATCTATAGACTTATTCACATAATTGAGAGTAGGACTCTTAATCAAACTAAGCTATTCGAGTTTGACTTAAGTTCAACTTGGGTTCGGCTCTTTTAAGTTCAGTTCGTTTTTTAAACGAGTACGAATTTGAACAAGTTTTTAGACTCATTTAGAAAACAAGTCCTACAAGCTTGACTCAAACTCGACAGACTCGACTCATTTATGTGTAAATATTTGGACTCGACTTATTTTTGATTCGTTCAAATTTGACTCGTTTCTTAAACAAACAGAACTTGAACAATTTTTTAGACTCGATTCAAAAACAAATTTTTTAAGCTCGACTCGAACTTGACGTGGGCTCGTTCGACTAACAGCCTTAATTGGGAAATGAGAAAAGATCCAAGATAAGGGAAGTGCATATCACGAGTAAAGGTGTTAAAATATGACACGATCTGNGAAAAGATCCAAGATAAGGGAAGTGCATATCACGAGTAAAGGTGTTAAAATATGACACGATCTGTTAGTACAATTTGAACACGATAAGAAATTAGAGGGTTTGAAAAACCACCCATTTAGCAAACGAATGGACCCGACATGATAAGATTAATAAACAAATCGATATGAGTAAAGTCAATCAAAAAAAATATATGACATATATTCGTGTATATACAGGTTATACACAATTTATATTCGACACAAAAATCGATATGACACGATTTGTTATATTCAAATTAATAAACGAATTAGTATGAGTAGAATATTTTTTGACATAAATCTATTAAAATTCGACATGAACTTCGCTTCACCCAACACGATTGACAATCCTGATCACGAGCAGAGAATCGTCGAGGGATCGACGGTTTTGGAGGGACATAGAAGAGAGAGAGATTGAGAGAACTAGAAAAATAATAATTATGTTCCAAGTTACAAATTGTGAGGATATACCCGAATCCCCAGGATATGATAAATAATTAATTTAGTCCAACACAACAAGCTTCTTTTTTCTTTTTCTTTTTCTTTTTTCTTATTCATTTCCTCTTTATTTCCCTCAATTCTCGCATTTATTCACCCAAATCTTGTTGTCCGAATAATTTAGTTGCCATATTATAGGACTAGTAATAATATGTGCTTAAAAGTAAATTAAAAAATATCTGAGTGTCGATCATGCAATATAAATATTTTCAAATAATATTTTATTTATTATTATTATTTTTAGTTACACAATTCAAATCAATTTAAAAACACTATTTTTGTAAAAATTTTAACAAATCTTCTCTAAAACATGATCCTTAAAAAATATCAACATGTAGACAATTTATATATTTAATCGTTATACCTAAAAAATATCTTTTTTTTTTTTGCATAAGAGTAAATATTGGTGTGTGTGTGTTGACGGGTGTATAGAGAAAAAAAGATAGAGTTATATGAAAGATGAGATAAACTTATGAGAGATGAGAGTATGATATATATATATATATATATATATATATATATATATATATATATATATAGAGTTATCCAAAGTCAAACTCTTCAACTCTTATTACTTTATTATTATATGCATTTAGGATAAAGAAAGAATGAGTATGTTTTTTTTTTTTTTGTGTGTGTGAGAGAATATGAGGTAGATATAAAGATAGAGTTATATGAGAGATGAGAATGTTTGTTTAAAATATGTGAGAGATAAGAGAGAGAAAATCAAATGAATGAAAATTCAATTAGAATCATATAAATAAATAGATAAATATAGGAGGACATACATGGATAGAGCTACACAAGGGCAAGCGTAGGCACAAGCCACCCTCAATTTTTTTAAAAAAAATATGATATGCTTATTTATATTTATATATTCTAAAAATTATATACATACTTTTTACTTGTGCTCACCCTATAATTTTCTTATTTCAATTATTTAGTTTTTTTCATTATAACAAGACTTTTTTTAGTTGACCTTCATTTTATTATGAATTTTTGCAAGTGAAAATTCTTTCGGTTGATATTCATTTGACTTTTTTTTTTTTTACAAAAAATTGTCTTTTATTTTTATTCAAGTATTGATTATAGTATTTATTGTGTGTCAATCGATTTTAAATTTTTTTACTATGTTTACCTCTTAAATTTTAGTTTAATAGTTTTACTATTCTAATATTTTAACGATAATGTTAGAACATTGTTTATTGAATAAATTTAATAGATTGGTAGTAAATAATTGACATTTTTTAATTATAAAAATGATAATTACCTTCACTTTTTTACAATAGTGATAATTAGTCATTTTTTTTATACATATACAATATACATTTATTTTTTGGCTTTTTTTATGTTAAATGGACTTCATGTAGCAAATGTGATACAATAAATATAAATATATTTATACAGTATGATTGGTTAAGAGGAAAAAAATTATAGCGCATAATTAAAGTGTTCACCCTAAATAAAATTTCTAGCTCTGCTCTGGATGACATATGTTAATGAACTTATAATTTGTTAGAGATAATTCTTGTTATTAGAGTTTTAATGGGTATTAGATGTATTTTGTTATTATTATATATATATAGCCGTCTAAGAAAGAGTTATATAAGAGATGAGAGAGAGTGTGTTTAAAACGTGGGAGAGATAAGAGAGAGAGTATGAGATAGAGGAAGAGAGAGTTGTGCAGTTAGTATGAGATAGCGAGAGAGAGTTAGATGAGAGATATGAGTCTTAAAAAAATTTCGCATGAGGACCATCAGATCAATAATTATCAAGCGATTTGAGTCGCGAAAAATTCAAGACAAACTTTTTTAATTACTTTATTATATAGATAGAGTAGGGAAAAGCTTAACCAACAGAGTTGTATCAAAGACACCACATTTGTTGGCAGTAAGCCCACTAATTCCTCATCAAATTAAGATGAGCCCTTGATGCTGCATTTCATGTTGGACCATGGAATTTTTGAATTTCTCTTACATTTTACGTTCATGAAATAGAATCTATCAAATATTTCACAATTTTTATGATCATCTTTATCTTAGATATTTGGGAAATCCGTCTTAATAGAAGAAATATTCCTATCATGTCAATGCCAATAAGTTTACATGCACTATAATTAGAATTAAAAACTATACCAATAGTAGGTCGGTATCAAAAATCAATCAGTTTTTTAACACCCGAAAGTAACAACACAAGCCTTTAGGAGTGAAGGGGGTTGCTAGCTCCTTCATTATTTTGGCAAAAGATTCTTAAATATTTCTTACTAAGAATCTTTCAACTATAGCAAACCATGTGTTCTCTGATTTGAAGATGGTGAAATATGCACAGCCTCACCCTGCAAAGGGAAAGTATTTTCATGACCTAATTTTTTTTTTTGGTTCAATGGTCAAAGATAATTGGGTCAACTTACGCGTATAGGGGTATCTTTAGGCCAGGAAACCCACGGGTCTCATTATCCCGTCCACAAAAAAAGGCCGAAACCCGATAAGACCGATAGTTAGCACACCCAAGCTCAATATTCTTAAAAAGAGAGTTGAATTTGTCCTCAAACCTATTATCTCAAACCTATTATCTGGCCCAAAACCTGACTCAATACCCCACTCAAAAAAACCAGTTAAAGCCCACCAACCAAGCCCAGCCCGCCCACCTTTCATTTGAAAAAAAGTTATACTTTTAAACCATTAAATTTAAAATTTAAAATAAGTCTCCGAATGTCAAAATTTGAAATTTCAAAAATTTAAATATTGTAAATAATAACTTTTTTTCATGTATTAAGCATATAAATTTTAAAGGATAGAGTAATGCAAATAATAGATAAGTAAATATGTATCAACTTAGTTGAGATGTATTAATTCCATTGAATGTAATTCATCCCCTAATTAAAAATAAAATTATTTATTAATTTTTTTTATCCATTTTAACTCTACTTTTGATTCAAAACTATAATATACAAAAATATTAAATTACAAAATATTCATTATTTTTAAATAAAGTTACATATAAAAAAAATCAGCGAACAGACCCACCCAAAAGGCTTGTAGGTTGAGTTACGAGTAATCTACCCAAAACCTTATTTGGCCCGCCCAATAAATCCCTCGAGTATGGACTTGAGTCTACACTACCTATGCCTGGACTGAAAAAAATTTGGTAGACTCAACCCATGGACACCCCTATATGTGTTCCTAGACTAATCATCTCCCCTCCTCTTAGTCCGATCAAAGACAAGTCATCCACGCTGGGACTAAAGTATTCATAAAGAATAAAATTTATTATAGCTTAATCTCAAGATATTGACAAAATTTAAACTCAAAACGTCTATATTTACGACTCGCTCCTGACATCACTTAACCAAAGTGTCAAGTTTGACCAACCTTACTGTTGCGCCTAACCCACCCTGTGCTGCTACTCCTCCTGATTAATAAGTGTCCAGAACATATTCCGAAGCTATCAAAGAGTATAAATAACATAAGAAACAAAGGTGATAGAAACTCTGCATGGAGTCTGTAGAAGCATTTCACAGAGAACATCAAAAGGCAAGTGTTCACTGAATAATACAGGCTCAGCACAACCTATGCCTCAGAGCTCATCCATTTTCGCTTTCTTTCATAACTTTTATTCATACAACCAAAAATCTTAGCGCCATACAACCCCGTGAAGATTTTTCCTCTGCCTCCCATCTGCTTAAACAATATATGCCCCTTGAACAGCAGAGCAGAAAATGGAACTAAGATGAAGAATTCTTCAGAACCCATTCCACCAGAGTTGAAATGCCAAATCCTGTTGCAGTTTTCTGCTTCTCATTCCAGACAGGACCAGCTATGTCAATATGCATCCATTGAACCCTCTCATCAACAAACTGCAAAAGACCAGTTGATGCGTTAGATTACCTTGCCTACTGCTAACCGATAAATCATCTTTTCAAGGGAATAGAACAAAATTAACTGACACGTTGCATAGTCCTGTTCTTTTTATGTGGTCTCTGGATTTTTTTTTTTTTTCATGGAAGCAAGGATGAACCACTATCTGCTTTTTGATTCAGTTGTAGCTTCTAATTTGGTTTTACTAATGCCCACAAAGTTAAAGTTCTTAAAAACAGTCACTTCACATCAGTTGCAAATTTTATGTAGGCGTCAAACAGACTTTTGAATTCGACCATTTGCATGAAACAAGTGGAAGATCAAGGCGGATGACACAGTATACCCCAAATCCCAACCCATCTTTCCCAAAACAAGAAAAATGAAGAAAAAAAAGTCGCCAGTAAGCTGGATGTGATAATGAACCATCCAGAAATATTTACTCATAATGGCCAAAGTTACTAAATACTCGGTAGAATACTGTGCAACTTCAGGATGACGAGGTCTAGTCCACAAACTATAGGAATTCTGAACAATCGGCCTCACCCCTTTCATGAGGGGCGTGCTGCAATATATTTAACTCCATTAAGGATCCAACCATTGAACTAGAAACTACAATGTGGCCAATTTACACACAACGCACAAATGTTTCAATTGGGTAAAAATGATTCTTCTTTGATGCATTTTTACCCAGTGAACCAGTGTTGCCTTACGTCAGTGTCAGCCATATTCAAATTCCAAAGCAAACAGAAAGAACAATCAAATATTGTACCTGTTTCAGGAAAAGAGCAGCGGTGATAGCACCACCTTGACGACCACCAGTATTCACCATATCAGCCACTTCTGATTTCATGGACTCCCAATAACTTTCTTCCATAGGCATCCTCCAAAGTTTTTCTCCAGTGACTTCTGAAGCAGCAAGCATCTCCATTGCAAGGTCATCGCTAGGTGTAAAGATGCCTGTTTCATACGTAGTAAATATAACAGCTTAAATAGAATACCAATAAAAATTAAAGCTCTCCAACATTTCTATTTTAAGTGTGAAAGCAATAGATATGAGGCACTGCATTGGAAGGAACCTCCATTTCACATTCATACTATTCAAGACTAAGCGAATTTTTAGCCAGAAGCTAGTGATGGATCCCATAATATTTTCAAAAATCACAAGATGATATCTTCTGCTTTTTGCTTAAACATACATCAACCAGCACACTCAAATGCATTGTCGGTTTATCCTGATGGTTTCACAATGCACTGCTATATAATTCTCAGCTATCGAATAATTTCCAGTAAAATATTATTTTAAGCCAAAAAATAACCATGACAATGACAATGAAGAAACAATTAAAAATGCACACACCGGCAATAGATGGCCCAAGAGCAATTATACAAGCCCCTGTTAACGTAGCCAGATCAACTATCTGCATAACAGGGGAACATGGTGTTAGCAGGCATCTAAATCCAAACTACCTTTTGTTCAAGGTGCAAACTCTTGCAGGAAGAGTTACAAAAGTGAACAATTGATGCTTGTCAAGAGACATAATGTTAGAGTGAAATTTATGCATCCTATCCGTACATATTTTGGATCGTGTGGAGTGACACAACATAGAACTGAAATTTCAGAATCCAGGTTTAGTGCATAAATCAGGGAAAGTAAGATAAATCAGCTGCTTCTTCTGCTCACTAAAATCAAATAACAAATTTTTATTTCATCCCTGGTGAGGAAAACAGGAACCACCCCCCTTTTATTTTCTTCTGAAAATTGATTCCCATTGTTAGAGAATTCAACCCAAAATCAACTGACAATGGGTAACGTAGACCTCAAGTATATAAGCCAACTTTGGTGGTCCTAATTATTCAATATGAGATATAAGCTCTTAACACCCTCCCTTACGGGGGACTCGGACTCGCACGTGGAATCAATAAATAAATAAACAAACAAAGATCTATGCATACCAAAAAATTCAAATGAGCAATAGACTTGGCCATTTGACCACCCAAGGCCCAACTCCGATCCCATGTTAGGGCATCCAACCCAAAACTAATTGGCAATGGATGGAGTGACCTCTCAAGTACAAAAACTAACCTTTGTGGTCCTAATTATTTGTTGTGATATACAAGGTTTTTTAAGCGAAGCCAATTACACATTTACACATAAAGAAGGGGAAGCTTGTAAGGGGTATCCTTTGCCCCAAATCCTGGTCTTTTAAAAAAATAACACGTTCCCGGATATCCTCGTAGAAGGGTGCGTACACCCATAATATAATGTATCAAAAATATCAGATAATTAGTACAAACTAAATTAAGTTTGAAACATGGTAACTTAAAACGAAATCAATACACAGAATTCTGGTACTCTCAAATCTGATAACCTAATATATACGGAAATTGGAAAATACCTTCTCTACACCTTGGTTACAAGCATATACCAGAGCATCAGCAAGAGTGAGCCTGCCTTCAGCATCGGTATTGTTAACCTGCAGTACATATATGCAGGAATGACTTGTTCAACTGAGACCAAATGTAAAATATAGGGCAACAAAATATATTTCTTATTTTTTTTTGTTTTAGTTTATTCTGTTCTAGATAAGGTGATCAGTACAGCAACATGAACACAACACACCCAAAACAATATTCTCACAAAGGTACAAGTGAAAACCAACAAAAAGAACCATTTAAATTAATCAGATCTCTAGTTTGAGTCCAGCCCATCATTCTTGTAATCAATAAACATGGAAAAATCGTACTACAGAAGTCGACCAATGGAAAGTGACCTAACTTCAATGTGAGGCACCAGACAAACAACTATACATATTATTATGACAGAACAGATTGAAGCCAATCCAACTTCCTATCATACCATTCCCTAGTATATACGCTCTTCTTCTTACCCAGTTTGGACCAGGTAAACCAAGTGCACTAATAGGGGTAGAACTAGGCACAAACCTATACAAAGTGGCTACCCTCAAATTCGAACCCACGACATCACGGTTTTTAGCCTGAATTTTTTAGCATTGCAGCATGGAATGGGGGGCCCAGCTCTAGACCATAATAAACATATAATAGACAAAGAAAGCTGAACAGCATGAAGCCATATCAAACCCACCCTGGAACAAGAACAGTCGGCACTTGATGCTGCAGCTCAGCTCATTTCTCTACCCCAACCAATCAGGTTGGGTCATAAAGCAGCAGATTTGAAATAGTTCAAGTCTAGAACCAACGAATAGACATTGAGACTCATTGGTTCGATAGAATTGATGTATGAGAAAGCATATTATGTTTGTACGATGTTTCCTAACCATTGCGAAGGTTCTTCCCATTCCTGTTCTTCTCTGTCTTCTCTGACAATTGTTGCAGTTCTAAGCCTCCTGAAAGTCACAACAAGATCTGATAAAGCAATATTTCACACATATTAACTTCCATTGCATTGCTCCATCACTCTTTCGTCAAAGATCAACCTAACACATCCAAAAGACTCCAGAATAGCTAATCTTGCTATTCACACTACTATTCACAGCCCCAAACAGTGGCCAAACCCTTGCAATTTCTTGCCAAGCTTAAACCTCAAGCCTCTGATCATTTTTTTGCTCCTTTTCAAGCCCCAGTATCCCGTCCTTTTACCAGCCTTTCTATAGACAAAATCTAGAGATAATCAACAGTAAACAGCCCTTTTCTCCACTGAACATCAACAAAGTTGGTATCATCTGTGTCAGAAAGTATTTCTCGCACTTGCACATCATTATGCAGGTGGCCCTCTCAGATGGAGAGTGTAGCACAACACTTTTTCCATAAAGAAATAGACAAAACTAGACTGGCCAAGAATTGGGATCAAAAATAGGGAACAAATGATGAGGCACTGCAATACTGATGCTTTTGGTACCACCTTTACTCATTTAAAATTCAAGTTTTACTTACCATGTCAGCTGCCACATCATTTTGTCCATGTTTTTTGTCCATTTTTTGGTCAGAGTAGCAGAAATTGGTGGGATAGAGAGTTAGCTTGAGCAATTTGGATCCACCTTACTCCACTCAGAAAGCTTAATAATGGGAGCTGATTTGAAATACTTCCAAAAAGGAAGTAACATAAGAAAATTGTATTTGTTTCCCTTCCTATGAGATGGATCAGATGCTTAGAGATCAATTTCTATATTGAACAAAGAAGTCATTTTATGAGAGAACTTAGAACAACATGCATCCCACCTTTTCCACCTATCCTTGGAAGTAGGAAGTGCATCCCACCTGACTCAATGGTCAGAATAACATGCATTAAGAAAATATATTAACTATAAATCCACAAAACACAAACAAGTAAATGGATCCTGCATAGGCCAAACAATTCGTCCTTTTTACAGTAGGTCAAAGAAATTACCTCGATTGTCTTGCCATTAGAAGCTGTAACGATATCCCCAGGTCGCATACCTGTTCCACTTATCATATTCTCACAAGCTGCAACAATGAAATGAACCTGCAATACATCTCCTTACTAAATCATCATCATAAACATCTCTAGATCTAGCTGGTCTACTCACACAGCAGAACTTTTTTCAGGAAAAAATGGAAGAAAGAGATATGACATGCAAATGGATTTTCATACAAGAATATAAATGAACTAAGTCCATTATCTAGGGCATCTCCTTTGTAGCAAAAACAACAATGGTAAGAATTATTTCACCTCTACTCCATCAGGTTTAATCTGACCAAGAGCTTTTGCTGCACCTAACACTGCTGCTGAGCCTCCCATATCAAATTTCATGAGCTCAATTAAACAACCAGGTCCCGTCTTGATATTGTAGCCACCACTGGAAGCATAAAAGATGAATATTGAAGAACCCATCTAAACTTTGAACCAGCAAAGGCGGATATGACTAAACAACCATAATTCCCACTATGTCTATGTATATATCTCAACCCCATCACCACGGGGATGGGAAAAGAGCAGTGGCATAGGAGGACTGGAGGAGGAATGCCATATTACCCAGAGCATAAAGGGAACAAATACTAAGGCAACATAAAGTAGCCCACTAGCCAGCCAATCACGGTAATTATCATGTAATAATATCTGTAATTCGAACACTGCCTTTAACCATTATACACGAGTAATTCTCAATGCCCCAAAATATAAAACCATGATTCAATAACCACCCAACCAACAGTATCCCCAAGACTACCTTGTCTTTTTCTCAACCAACAATTACATCAAACTTTCTAATTTGGGAAAATGTAAAATACCTGTCGAAAGTCAATCCCTTGCCAACTAAGCCCAGCTTGGTTTTGACTTGCCCACTTGGAGGCTTGTAACATAAATGGATAAAATGAGGAGGATTTGCAGAAGCTGCAGCCACACCCAGATAAGAACCCATTTTCAGTTCTTTGCACTGTTCTACATCCAAAATTGTGGCTGAAAGAACATCACTGTACATGGAAGCAATCTTTTTGGCCTCTTCTGCTAGTACCCCTGAGGTATCAAAGTCATCATATTTAATCAACCATCAAAACTATTGCAACTTTCAGCAACACTAACTGGTATAATAAAAAAGCATAGAGAGAACAAATTAAGGCCGCTTAAAATGAAAAGATACCAAAAGTAGATTGGCAGTTGAGATGCATTCCACTCACATGTACCACAAAAAGCAACCAACATTGGTATATTTGCATGGTAAGAACAAGAGAATTACAATGAAAGATTACGAACCAGGAGTGACTACGTTGGCAGGTGCATTTACAAGCTCTTTTCCAAGAATAACTCCCCGACATACATCTTCTGCATACTTGATCTTTTTTAATAGCTCCGGTCCAGTTCCAAGACCTAGAATATCCACAGATTTGAGGGCTGACTTCTTTGACTCAGACTTAAACCTACTGTCTTCGTAAGTACCCAACACAGTTCCTATCACAATTTCACACATTCAACGAAGTTTAACCCCATAAAAATTTGCCACACTCATAAAATTGAAGGACAATAACAACATTGAAAATTCAAAAATTAAAATTACCAGTTGCTATTGCTGAAGCAGTGCTAGGCTTCGATTCATCAGAGAGCGCATCAGAAGAAGCAAGTGCAATGGCAACATTACTTGCCTGAGCAGTCTTTGCTGCTGCAGCGACAGCCTCACCAAGACTTCGATAAGCAGTTGATGAAGCTGTTGATCCGAGCCCAATTAAACCAACCCTTTTCGAGCCAAGATCTGGAAGCCTAAGAATTGTAGACTGTCCAGCCTTTCCTGTGAAATCTTCTTCTGAAGAGGCTTCAGACAACAAACCACCCAACTGGTAATCTAGCATTTGCAAAATTGAATTTTGGAATTTTGAGTTTTCATCTTTGGCCATATCTTTCTCTGTCACACCCACTGCAAGTATGTCCCCTTTCCATTCCACCAAATCAATCTCTTTTACAGCAAAAGATATCTTTTCATGGTTTTACCAAAACAGTTAGCAAACGTTTAGCATTTAGTATTTCAGTCAAAAAAAAAAATATTATATACCCATAAACCACCAAAAGAAAATGAGAAAGAAAGACAAATACATCACAACTTAGTTCCAAATAAATCAACAAAAATATACTTCTATTAGGAATACAGACCATGCATGAAAATGATTGCATGTTCGCACAGAAAGAGACTTACATTAAAACATGTTCACAAATTGTAGGTCGATCAGTTAAAAAGAGGAACATCATGATACTATATCATTAACACATAAAAATACTATATGTGTTCATGAGACAAACATAATGCAATAAACCAACAACTAGTACTGTTAGATTTTGCCTAAAACAAATTGATCCGATCAGAATTCTAACATTCACGAGTTCAAACGAAAATATACATAAAAAACATAGATGGTTTACATCACTCATTTTTCAATACACAATTATTTAGATAATCCAATAGAGGATAAGAGTGATTGTGAGTGTGTGGACTGTGCAGTTAGAGACCTATGAAATCACATACCAACATCAACATACACAGGGAAAACGATTATTCTGTGTATGCGTGTGTCACAGAGAGAGAGAGAGAGACCATGGGTGCTTCAATCTGAGCCGGCTGAGTGAGCCCAAGAGTGGCCTTAGCAAGAGAGTGAGCCATGCGCTTCCCTCTTCGAGAACACAATAAGGGTGTAACTGAAAATGAAAGACTGAGAACTGGGTTCCACCGCAATTTCGTGAAAACCGAGGAAGAAGATGATGAAGTTGAAGTTGAAGCGATCAAAGTGAGAGACGAAGCTAAGGATACTCTAATGGCGGCCATTAAGAAATGTGGAGACTCTATCTATATATAGCTATAGTATACTACGAGTGTCCTATTTGCGTTACAACAACTCAACTTCTGAGGGAGATTATTGGGCAAGAAAAAGGTTTGGGATGACAATGGCGATGGGTGCGTTCACATCACCAACATCTGCTGCCATTTGGGCCTGGACTCTCTCTCTCTTTTTCTTTTTTCTTTTTTATGTTGGGGGGTTAATTAAATTTGAGTTTTTTTAGGGGTTGTGAAATTTTCTTCTCTAAATTTTATTATTGCCTAATTTTTATCGAAACATTTTGGTCTTCTTGAATTAAATTCTTTGATGTGGCTTATAAAATTAATTCAATTGAATTTCTCATTATCTTTATCAAATTTTTTAAACTATCAATTAAACACATTAATAAATTATTTTTTTGATAATTTTAGAACATCCCCAATAATTTTTTTTTATAATCTAATTCTCTATTTTAGAGATTCAATTATAAATATCAAACTCCAATAGACTTTTTAATCAAACTAGTTAAAATTGCGGGCCTTATTTGACTCTCTACATTTGGATAACTTAACTTATTCTCTATTTTATTTTTAATGAATGAAAATAACCCATATGCATTATTCATTAAATGTTATTGATTAAAGAATTATTTTTTTAATAAAAATAAAGAGTCCATTAGAGTTATCTAAAATATTTGACTCTCTATTTTAAAATTTTTATTAAAGATACTCTTTATTTCAAAAAAGATTCTCTTTAAAATAGAGAGTATTATTGAAAAATTCTTTTTATAGAGTGATGATGCACAAAATTGTCTTGTGCAAGATCGATAGTCAAGAAGGTGAATAGGTGCAATCAATGACAAAAACAGTAAATAAGAACTCAGAGATTTATAATGGTTCGGTCTCAGATGACCTACTCCACCTTTGGGAATGATAGCGGTGGCCGGTGTTCTTTATTGATGAGTGATGGTACTCCGGAGAGTTATAGTACTTTGAGGGAAAATAAGAAAGAGAAGTGTGTATAAGAGTGGGTGTAGAGGTTTTGGAGGCCTACCCTCAATGTTGAGAGGGCTTACATTATATAGCTAGGGTAAGGTAGCAGAGGCGATGACATGAGGGAGAAGAATTCTATTGCTTTGGCAAGTATTGTTATAGTAGGAGACCTTCTATGTCTATCTCCATATTATCTTCCCTCGTGCTCCTATTCATCCGGAGGAGAACATTAGTTGGATTGAGCTTGACCCTCGTCTTGGACTTGGACTTGTCTTGAGTAGGCTTGGCTTGGACTCAGATTGGAGTACCAAGGTGAAGAGGAACAAGAGGAGGGGTGCCCAAGGGCTCCCTCGTCTTCCTCCCACTTTGGTCGTTGGCTTTTGGTGCTGTCCTTTTGGTGTCTTCCTCAATGGGTTGACATTGGACGTTTCTTTGGGCTTTCTCGATTTATTTAAATTAGGCTTGGCCCAGTAAAATTCGGGCTCATCATTTGCCCCCTATGCCCCAAGCCTCTGACTTTCAGTGGGAGGAAGAGGTTGTGGGCATGTGCTACAACTTCACCGGAGTAAGTCGGATTTTTCTTGTATTTCCTTTAGTACCACAACAAGTTCATGGGAACTAAGAGTTCAAATAGTTGTGGAGGAGAGAAGCGAGGAAGAGTCCACACCCTTGATATCATAGGAGACTCCCATAGAGGTGCTTTGGGTAGCGCCCACATTGGAGATGGGAAAGGTGAAGAGGGCTTCAATGGTGCTCCCTTGGAGAAGCAGCTGAAGAATCTAAGGAGGGAGCACTTGGTGGGTGACACTCATGGTGCACATGTGAGCCACTGGGCGGCGCCCATGTGGCTGAAGTAGGCGCCCAAGGCAATGAGGCAGGAGCCCAAGGCAAGAGGTAGGCGCCCATGGGCGAGAGGGACTGCTGGAGCATTAAAATCTGGCAAAACTTGGAACGGCCATAACTTCGCGCACGGGAGTCCGTTTGAGGTGAATGTTTTTTTTGAATTCGGGTATTTTTTTGAGATCTATGATGTACAAAGGCTCTTTGGTCAGCTAATTTTCCCAAAAAACGCTTCTATCCCTCTGAATTTGAGTTTTTAGCACAACTCAGTGAAATCGATAGAATTTTTTTCTTTTTTTTATATATCCTCGTCTATAAATAGAGGTCACTATTCATGTCTTGCTCATTCTTCTCCCCTTTCCAATTGTTCTGTCCAAAGGCTGCCTCCTCTAAGCTTCTTTAAAAAGCTGTTCAGTCAAGCTTCCTTAAGAAGCTTCACACCAAGCTTTTTCAAGAAGCTTTAGCAAGGCTTCCTTGAGAAGCCATTCTTCCTCTATAAATAGGCCACTTCAAGAGTTCACTGTTTAACACCCATACCACCTTCACTACTCAAACCCATCTCCCATCACTCAATATCCATGGAAACCAGGAGTTCAAGAAAATCGGGCGAAATGTCAAAGAGTTCTAAGGGGTTGGTCCGAGGACCAGGTGGCGCCAGTAGTCAGGTGGGCGGCGCCCATGATGGTAGAGGGGTAGTGGGCGGCTCCCATGGAGTGGAGGTGGGTGACGCCTCTTTGCTTGTTGGTGGTTCCCAAGCTTTGAGTAGTGGAGTTGAGGAACGGAAAGGAGAAAATAGAGGCAGTGCCCACACTCCAGGTGGCATTGGGTATGATGCAAACGAAAGAGTGCTTGGCCTTGTCGAGGAGTAGCATATAGGAAGTGCACCAGAGGTCCCTGTGGACGGCGCCCCCTTGGGCGGCACCAAGGGCTTGGGTGATCTCCCTTCAAACTTCAGACGCTCGGGACTTTCTCCTCGTGGTGGTTTTGGCGTGGCCTAGATAGCTGGTGAGCGACTTTTCGGAACTATTAGTGCGAGATTTGGCACGAGCAAAAAGGCTTCAATTAATCCTTTTGGTGCATCGAGAGGGACCCCAGACACAGGTGGGTAGTAGAGTGGATCTTCAAAGGAGATAGAGGGTGCCCGTCATAGGCTGGGCAGCGCCACAGGCTCCTCAAGCGACGCCCATGGTGTGCTGGGCGGCGCCCCAGGCTCTACAGTAAGCACCCCAAGCGTAGTGCAGTCCCCCTTTCGCGAGTCCAAAAAGTGAACGATCACCGATCTGCATAGGGCTAGCTCTCAAGGTATGTTGCAGTATTCTTTTTACTCTTTCGTTGTCATAATTATTTTCCTGAGCTACGGCCTGAACTTACTTTTGCGGATATTCATCCAAGCGAGAGGGAGACTTCTCGGGACTCCGACGGAGGTCCAAATGCTGGAGGAAGCGATGGTTCCAAGGTAGCTTCTATACTTAGCTTGCTTGACCATGATGAAGATATTGTCGAAAATAGTTTCATCATATCGTATTCCACCCTGTGTGACTTACCATCGCGCTGAGGCCGATGAGTCTACATGTTGTGATTCCTTGGGTGGGATTGTCGTTTACGAGGTCATGTTGGAGTCAGGCCTTCGGTTCCTTATCCCTGGACCTATATGTCGGGTTCTCAGGCACTTGTCTCTGGTTCCAGGGAGACTGGTTCCTAATGGTTGGAGGGTGATTTCAGCGTTCTTTGCCTTGTGGCGGTTGGTGCATGATGCTACCGTCCTTCCACCGTTTGAGGAGTTTCTGGCTACATATACACTATCGAAAAATCCTACTCCTCACCGGGGGTGGTACCGCTTCACCCCAAGATCAGGCAAGTTTATCGGTGGGCTTACGTCCAACCTTCATAAATAGAAAAAAAAGTTCTTCTTTGTCGGAGGCGAGTGGGCCTCCGAGTCCGACCGTGACCTTATGCCCACACGATGGGATACAGTCCCAAATACAAAGCAAGGTAAGAAATTTTTGCCCTTAATTTGTGTCTCCATCCTCATGTATTTATTCTTATGGTGCGATTGTCTTCTTGTAGCTGCGTCGACTCTAACTCCGATTCAAGAGAGGCTGCTCGAGATGGTTCGCAACAACCCGACCAAGGATTTTTTCGAGATTATGCTGGCGTCTGGCACCTTTATAGCTCCTTCCAGGCCGAGAAAGAAAGGTACTTGATCCTTTCTCTTTTAATTTTGTAGTCTTCTTGAAGACTCAATATGGTAGGCTTTTTGAATTGTGCTGGCTCTGCAGGTCCCCCTATTGATAGGTCGATGGTGGGGGAAGTTCTTACTTCTACGGTATAATCTTCCCTTCCTCCTTCTTCCAAGAGGGCGAAGTCTAGTACCCCCAGCTCTTCTCAACCGGGGTCTACCGGTCAAGCTAATCTCACAGAGGCTGACCTCAGTGATGTTCCTCCTTCTTCTCTGGTTGATGCCTCCCCACCCCCGAGAGACTGTTCTAGCACTGCTGCAGGTGTTTAAGGCTCTGGTGCCACCTCCCGTTAGGACTGAGGACTAGCTAGGCGGTCCCACTTCGGGTGTTCCCCCATTATTTATGCTACAGGACGTGAGGCTGGCAAGGGAGAGATTATGTGATTTCATGATCGACGTCAAGGCCCAAGAGATCGTCTCCCGAGGTCATGAGGGCATGATTAATGCCACTATTGAGGGTTTTGCTTTGGTATGTTTTATACCCCTGCTTCATCTAGCTTTCTTTTCATATTCTAGCTTATTTTATGACTTTCCTTGTACTCTTATCTTCCGAATGCCTATAGGTGGCTGCTGTCTTGCCTGACTTGTTTAATAACACCTTGCAGATCAGTGATGCGGTCGACAACTTGGCTAGGGAGAGACAGGTGTGAAAGGCTGTTGAGGAACAGCTTAGGCTTGAGCGGCAGGCACGAGAGGATGCCGCGGAGCTTGCACGGCAGGCACGAAAGGATGCCGAGAAGCAACTGAGGCTCGAGCGACAGGCATGATCGGGTGCCGCTAAGGAGTTGAAGCAAGCGCATGAGAGGGCTGCTCGATTTGAGACTAACCTTCGTGTAGCACTTGAGAGAGCCACCAGGGCAGAGGCTTAGAGGGACACTGCTGAGAGGGCCAGTGCTTTCATTGACGACTACGAGGAGCTCGGGAGGAAAGCCTCAACAGTATTCCCTTATTGCGATCTTTCTGACCTCAAGCCTCATGAGGCCCCTGAGTCTAATGATGAGGACTATGTGAGTGGAGGCAGTGAGAGTCACTAGGAGTGTGGTGCCTTTGCATTTTTTGTTCTGTTGATAGACTATGTCTATCCTTTTGTAAAGAGTTC